CCCACACCTACCTATCTCTTGATCTCTGGTGTTGTGTGTTGCGTGGAAATAAGGCGGGCGATGGGGGAAGAAGGAGAGCGATGGGGATATGCTGACAAGACCTACCTACAGTTACTTCCTGCCGCGAGTACATCGAGGGCTACTTCCTCAACAACCCGGACCACTCCCAGTACATCGACACCGAGGTGCTGGAGAAGTACTGGAACGTGGGTGGTGTGCGCATCGAGGATGATATCCTGGTCACCAAGAAGGGCTATGAGAACCTGACCACGGCGCCCAAGGGGGATGAGATGATGAAGTGTATGGGCGAGTCGGGCCTCTTGTGATTTGATAGGTGTTGATTGGGATTTGAGGTTTGGGCGTTGGTTGAAACCATATCCACACAGATTGTCAGAACGGATTTGATTCAGGATTATTCGGTCGGGAAAGGGGGCAGATCAAACTGGGATAATAACAATAAAAAGAAGAATATCCGCTGGCATCGGGAGTTGGTGGGAGTGTAAAATGGGAACCGTGACATGAAGCAATACCAGACACCGGCTCGCAATGCCCTCACATGGCGCCATCTGAGCAGCTACCAAAGAAAACATAGGTATCGTAAGCTAAGTACGCTTTTAATTCCTCCTATGAAGCAACCACCAACTTGATATGCAATAAAACAAAAACCAAACACGAAAAAAAGAAAAGTAACGCCAAAACCCCAATCTGTACATCCAGCCAGCAAGCATCTTATCATGAACAGAATCCCCCCTCCCCCCTCCCCCCTCCCCCCTCCCCGCCCTTCCAACCAATCAGCCAACCACACCCCCACCCACATCCATATCTAGTTACATCTACAGATACTTCTTCGGCGACGTTTTCTTCCTCTTATAGTAGGTAAACCCAGCCACCAACACCAGCTGGCTGCCGATGACGACCCACAGTAGCCTGTTGTGTCCGGACTTGGCGTGGGACTTGACGTTCTCGGCGAGGGACTCGTGCTTGTCGTTGACGTGGTACTTGATGGCGTTCTCCGAGTCGCGCAGGCGTCCGGCCATCTCGGTGCGCAGGCCGCGCATCTCCGTCTCGATGTCGCGCAGCCGCCCCTCCATCACGTCCACCTTCTCGAGCCGGCCCATCAGGCTGCGTAGTTCGCCCACCATGGAGGACAGTTCCGAGTGCCGCTGCTCGCCTACGCCCGCGTTCTGCCCGATCGACCGGAAGATGGTCGAGAGGTGGTGGTTGATGGATTGCAGCCGGTTGTGTAGGTCCGCGAACTGCTCCTTGGACGACGTGATCTTCTCAGCTTCCTGATCCGGGATCACGTTGTCGTAGGGGTCTTCGATGGCAGACTGGCCGCTCCGGCCGAAGTTCATGCGCGGCTTGTTATTGTTATTGTTGTTGCCGTTGTTGTTGGAGTCCTGTTGGGGGGTCTCGTTGGTGGTGAGCACCGCCAGCTTGAAGACCTCAAACGAGTCCGGGTTGTCGGCGGAGGCGGCCGAGATGCCAAAGTTGTAGCCGCTCGGGATGCGGACCTTATCGGTGTCGAAGCAGTGCCGGCCGGCCACCTCGACGCTGAACTTGCTCTCGGTGTGCCGCAGCTTGATCTGGGTCGGGCGGCCCAGGTTGCGGTAGGTGAAGCTGCACTGGGCAAAGGCCAGGCTGTCCACGTTGTGGTTGTTCTTGTAGTCGGTCGTCCCGTCGTTGAGGAAGCCGCGCAGCATGCCGCCGGACCCGCTGTGCTGGTCAATCACCAGGCCCAGCCCCTCAAACTTCCCCGCCGAGTAGACGCTGTCGGACCCGACAACGTGCGCGCCGTCCCTCACCAGCCAGATATTCAGGTTGCCCCCGGCCCGCTCCGGGCCATTGGCGCGAAACTCGACATCCGCAATCCAGTTTTGGTTCTGCAGCGACTTGTCGGCCCAGACGGCACCACGCTGGTTTCCCGGCGCTACGGGGGTAAGGATGACCTTGTCCGAGAGTAGTTCGGGCACGTTGGGCCGGCCTTGGAGGGAAAAGTTCGGTATCGACTGTGTCCCCTCGGGACTTATCCTGTTGGTTGGGGGGGTTGTCTCAGCGAGTGCAATTGGACGAATTGTGCTTGGAGAGAGTGCTACCTGTGGCTGTGGCCAAAACTAAGCTCGTTGACGAGATATTGTGTTTGTGCCTGGGCTAAGCTAGCCGCAAGCAGGGCATAGCTCGACGTCAAGCGCATCTTGAGCACCTAGTCGAGGGAAGCTGTCAACTCGGGTCTGGGTCTGGGTCTGGGTCTGGATCTGGACGGCAGAAGGAGTGACAATTGACAGGATGTCGCCGGCAAGAAGTCAATCGCGTGGCAGATTATTATTTATTAGTTCGGAGGTCGGCTCCCCGGTTCTAGTTTCCGGCAGAATAGGACGGAGCTTCCGGTGTGCTCGGCGTTGAGGACACTTTGCAGCTCTTCGACGACAGCCCGGGCCGGCGGTTTGGCCAATGTGGAGAACACAAGCAGTACTGTGTACAAGCAAACAAGAATAAGAATGACGCTGAAACACGAGGGCAATAGCTTAGCGGGGCCAAAATGATGGTCAGGGGGGAAATTGACAAACTACCAAACGAGCGGTAGCTAGTGCACACGATGATAAAGAATTTACATAACTTCCAACAGATGTAAGAATTGCGGCCTGGCGTGTCTGAGACACAGCTCCTGAGATGTGAGCGCCGCTCAGGCAGGTCCGAAGTGAACAGCTGTGCATTAACACTGGAGAGAGGGGCTTGGTTGGCGGCGGAAGCTGTTGCTCCAACTGGAACCTGGAACAACAGGGGTCTGTCTCTTGGTCTCCACAGCGGGGGAAGTGTGGCTCTGTGGCTGTGTGTGGCTGAATGCAGTGGCGGATGCATCTTGGATGGCTGGTTGTCATCTTTCTCCAAATCCCCAGCTGTGCGTAGGGCTCCACTAAAACTTTGAGCTCAATTGGAGAGCGATAGGAGACGAGACAGCTTCATGCGACACTGAGGACAGTGACGAGTCTCACAGTTCAGTCCATGGCAGCCCGTATGCCGCCATGTCCGAGATTTATCCTTCACTCGCGCAATGCGCGATTGTAGCTGGAGCATTGAAGATTCTGCTCTTCCCGGCCTAGTGAGTCCAACCCTTCGAGGTTCCCTTTGGACCCTTTCCTCCGATCCTCCGGTCCGCTGACACTGGCATCCGCAGCAAATCTACCGATTTCGAAGTCCACCGCAACTGGCTCGCCATCACCAACAGCTTCCCCCTGTGGGATTGGTACTACGAAAAGACGTCAGAATGGACGCTCGACTACCCGCCCTTCTTCGCTTACTTCGAATGGGTCATGTCGCAGGTCGCGAAGCTAGTTGACCCAGCGATGCTCAAAGTGTACAACCTCGAGTACGATAGCTGGCAGACGGTATACTTCCAGAGGTTTACTGTCATAATTAGCGAGCTGCTTCTGGTTTGGGCGTTGCAGATGTAAGCGGTCCGGCTGTTGCGGTAATATCGAGGGTGTGACCTCAGGCTGACAAACAACAACCAACAGGTTCATAGACTCGTCCCATGGAGCATCCAAACGAGCCGCGCAGGCAGCCGCCATATCCATCCTACTCTCGCCGGGTCTCTTCATCATTGACCACATCCACTTTCAGTACAATGGCGCCATGTACGGCATCCTCATCGCGTCCCTGGTTCTGGCCCGCAAGAAATCGACGCTGCTCTGGAGCGGCCTTTTGTTCGCTGCGCTATTGTGCATGAAGCACATTTACCTCTACCTGGCCCCGGCCTACTTCGTCTTCCTCCTGAGGGCCTACTGCCTCTCGCCCAAGTCGGTTTTCCGGATTCAATTCCTCAACTGCGTGAAGTTGGGTGCCGGCATTGGAGCCATTCTTGGCACGGCCTTCGGACCGTTTGCGCTCAAGGGACAAATCCCCCAAATCTTCAACCGGCTGTTCCCCTTTTCGCGTGGCCTCTGCCATGCTTACTGGGCGCCAAATGTGTGGGCTATGTACTCGTTTGTCGATCGGGTCCTCATCGTCCTCGCGCCTCGGCTTGGCTTGTCGGTAAAAGAGGGCGCGTTGCAGAGCGTCACGCGCGGCCTGGTCGGAGACACAGCCTTTGCTGTCCTCCCCGATGTTACGCCGCGGGTGTGCTTCGCCTTGACGCTCATATTCCAGGCAATCCCGCTGCTTAAGCTCTTCGCCCAACCGACGTGGGACAACTTTATTGGGGCTGTCACCCTCTGCGGCTATGCTTCGTTTCTGTTTGGCTGGCACGTGCACGAGAAGGCCATCCTCCTGGTCATCATCCCCTTCAGCCTCATCGCTCTGAAAGATCGACGATATCTGGGCGCATTTCGGCCGCTGGCCGTGGCGGGCCACGTTTCCCTATTCCCGCTGCTGTTCACGCCGGCAGAATTCCCTCTCAAGACGGTCTACACGGTATTTTGGCTCATTCTTTTCTTGATGGCCTTCGACCGCTTGGCGCCTGCATCGAGCCGGGCTCGGTTTTTCCTCTTTGATCGCTTCAGTACGCTCTACATCACCATCAGCATCCCACTGATTGTGTACTGCTCGCTGGGACACGGGATTGTATTCGGCAAGAGCTATGAATTTCTGCCCCTAATGTTTACCAGCTCATACTCCGCAATAGGAGTCGTCGGGAGCTGGGTGGGCTTCATGGTTGTGTATTTCACGTCATAGGATATTTATAGGATAGACCAACTTGCGGAGCGTAAAATAATATCACTTGATGATGTCAACTCATGTTGAGGGCATAATGAGCGGATGGATTGTTTAACACGTTTATAGCACTCACTTTGTCAAAGGGGTCTTTCTTCCGAAACAGAAACATACCATAGGAGTACTCGAGAGGAGGCGAAAAAAAGCAATCTACGGGGCGATGTATAATGCTGGATGTACACTCGTGTCGAGTCAGGCCCAGCTGTTATTTTCTTTTCGTCTCGTCTCGTCTCTGGCGAACAAGACGACGCCCCTCTCATTCGACATGTCAGAGTTTTGATTGGCTGCGCTTGCTCAAGATCCACAAACTTCCGCGACCACCATCTCGGAAAGTGGGGAAAGTACCTGCGAGGAAGCAAGGACGGAAGCGGTCAGGGTACCCTCACGGGCCTCGACAAACTCTTCGAAGAAAAAGTAGCACGAATGGCTCCAGGAGACCTGCTATTGAGCACCACACTTTTCTTTTTGGTTGGTGAGTGCGGAGTTGACGTACCACGGCTGTCTATCGAAGCAAACTTGAATTGCAGGTACCAAAACCCATCTGCAAGGCTGGATCTGTGCTGCACGTCAAACCGCTCAGCCTTGTCTTGGACCCACCGTCTCCCGAAGTGGCGCTTGATCCAAAACAAAACCCAACAATCCACACGTTTGGGCACGAGGCAAAGATGGCCGTACTGCGTCATCTGCCGTCGTCAAAAGTTGTAGATTGTAAGTACCTTATGAGTACCACCCCCATCACTCTCATTCCCCAGGTCACGGGGAAATAAATAAATTCAATAAAAATATGCACGAGAGTGCGGAGGTACCTTGAAAAGCAGGTAACTTACACGGGATTTCCCGGTACTTCCAGGTTCGACTCGATCATCGGCATCTGTCCAGCTTGTGCTACTAGCAAGAGTAAAATTCCACACATCCTGCCAGCAGCGGATATCAAAATTGTTGATGCAGGAAACATTGCAAATCCAATCCGTTGGTCGGTGTCGGCCGGTTTCGAGGTGCTGGTGGGTTCAGTGAGCCGCGGTCTTGCTAGCGCGGTACCTGTCTGTGCATGGGCAATCCGATCGATGCATCAAGGGGCGCACGTCCCAATGTCAACAACACCAGCATGTAATTGAGATACAAAGAAGCTGCCGCCGAAAGACGCCATGCCGGATGGCGACGCGGTGGCCCAAAGCACAAAGCCTGCATGCGAGGAGTCCATGTCAAGCACAGCCGAAGCCCAATGACGGAGGCGAAAGCCGTGGTTGACGGTAGCCCTCGGAGGGGTCCTCCTGTCCGGGGCTCGCGGACCCCCTACCCTTGAAAAATAAAATTTGCCCTGGGCTCTTTCAGCCATAAATAATTGGAAAATAGGCCAATTCATATGCTTCAAGCGGCTGCTAGTAGCCCTTGTCAGGACGAACAAGACGAGTACAAGAACGTGGGTAAAGCGTGCATGTCGGGCGGGTTGGCTGCAGGAAGACGTTGCCCAGGGTGGTCGGGGTGTGGACGAGGAGGAGCCATTTTGGGTCGGAGCTGGAGCGATCCCCGTACCCTGTCTGGCGGGTCCGGGATGCCAGCACGCTGGACCACCTGCAACCAAGCCCACGCCCGTGCTTCCCCATATTTCCCCGTTCCCTCCCATTGTTGAACTTTTTCCTCCTCCCACTCCCGCACCACCCTCGCTTCCTCTAGTTTCGCTCAACCTCAGCTTCCTGCGTGCAGCCCTCGGCCACACCCACACGCGGCCACAACTCGAGCTACTTAGACGAAGAACATCGCATCTACTTACACGCACTTCTTTTACGCGGGTCTCAGCCGCGGCCATCCGAAGATCATCAGCCTTGCATGCTCACCGCGAGCTACCAGTTCTCTCCTAGGCGGCCACCAAAACCCTGACCCTCTCCACCCAATCTGCCACGGATCGCGACGGGTGGCCACAACACGGGCCCTGGGACACCACAACGCGTCTCAACCACCCACATCACCCGCCTTTCACGGCAATATTCAACCCCAACCGATCCGAACTGACTTAATTCTTTCAACGAGGCTGAATATCAGCCTTGCACGACTTTTGAGGTCCCCCAAGACCCCCATTACCCCCCCTCTCTTCCTCCCGCCTCCTCCCATTCTTCTACCAGACGACAACCACCAGCCATGGTACGCGGCAACTTCCTCGCGACTTCCGAGGCCCCCATATCGCTGACCCCATGCCCCCAGGTATTGTTTAAACGCAAGCCGGTGCAATTCTTGCCCGTGCCCGAAATTGACGATGAAAACCAAGAGGTGCGCACCCTTGATATTGCACCCCAACTGGTGGCCAATCAACCACAGCTGGATTCTAACTATCTGCGGTATAGGTCTGGCATATTTCCCAGACCGGCGAGGTCTTTCTCACATACGAAGATTACCTAAATAGGTATGTAATTCCCCCCTGCTTGTTCCCGATCTTGGTTTGGCATTGCGCGTATTGGGTGGTGGCTGACACTTTACTAGGTTGGATTTCTACGGCCAAGTAAGCTTGATCACCCAAATCCTGGCACGACATGGGCATGAATGACTGACACATAAACTTAGAAACGCTTCATCTGCACCATTAGCGGCCACTCGGGCCTGACTTTCTTCGACGCGCTAGAGAGCGAGGTGCGCCCGCCACACACAATACCCCTCCCTCTTCTCTTTCTGTGGCCATTGCTGACAAGACGAACCACCACTAGCTCGCGGGCGCCGCCGAAGTGGACCAGGCATTCCCTGAAGCTCTCAAGGGGCCCATCCTCCGACGCGTCCAATTCCAGACGGTATCCCGCATCGACACGCTTGTCGACCAAGTGTACGATGAATTTAAGAGCGACTACTACCCCGGCGAGGCCGTGACCGTCCACATCTTGGGCGGCGAGAGGTTACAAGGCGTGGTGAGAGACAAGACACGTTTCGGGGCCAAGGTGTTCCCTGACGGCAAACTCTTACCCCCCTTCTCGCGCTACTTCGTCAGCCTGGATGAGCGACCGGACGAGGAGGCCGTGGTAGACGATGCGCACATCTACCGCGATCGCAAAGTATTCACCAAGGCCGTTCTGCGCTCGTTTATTAAGAAGACGGTGACGAGAGAGGCCTGGAACGGAGCCCCATGGTTGGTCAAGCATGACGTGGCCGAGAAGTACCACATCGATACCCGGATCCCACCGCATCTGCGCTACGACAACAAGCTCCTCGAACGGAAACAGATGCAGCTCCAGAAGAAGGCCTCTCAGTTCGACCAGCAGATGGTATCCCCAGGTCCCGTAAGCCCGACCGGTTTCAGGTTACCTGAGCTCAAGCCTGCGCCCAAGAGCCACAAATCGAAGGCGCAACAGGCTCTCCAAGCCCGTGATCATGCAGTTAAGGGGAAGCATAGCACATTTGGAGGCCACGAGCCCGGCTCGTTTGTGCACTTACCACTCCCGGGGAACCCCTTTCAGTTCCCCATGTCCTTCCGCGGTCAAGGGCCAACACCCGCCCCTAAACCGCGCGAACCCACACCCCCCCCACCACCTCCAAAGTACCCGATTGAGGATTTGCAGGTCGAGCCCCGCCGTATCGTCCGGCCACAGCTCAAGTTCATGTGCCGCGACACGCCGGTCGACGTCGCGCCCGAAGCGAAGTCGCCGCTCAGCGACAAAATCCTAATGAAGTCAATAGGGCCGCTCCTCGAGACGTGGGACACGTTGAATGTCTACTGTGAGATTTTCAAGCTCGACTCGTTTACCTTCGACGACTTTGTCGAAACTATGTTGGTCGCCTCGACGGAGACGCCAGTGCAACTGTTCGACGAGATCCACTGCGCAGTGCTTAAAATTCTAGTCACTTCCGAGGCCGAAGGCGGGAAGGTCCAGATTCAACTGCCGGAGCTAGAAGAGGAGGAAGAGGAGGATGAAGACGAGGAACAGGAAGAGAGCACCGCGCCCACACCCGAACCAGAGCCTCAGCCTTCAGGTCGCGCGACTAGGAGAAGCTTGGCGAAGGCGGAGGCAGACAGGCTCGCGGCAGAGGCGGCGGCTGCAGAGAAAGAGATGCAGGAAGCCGAAAACGCGCCCAAGCACTTGGCCGAGGAGTTGGTTCGGGACTACGACTGGATCGAGCACCTGACGAAACGCGATTTCAAGGAGGGCGGTTGGGAAATGATCATGGTTGGGCTACTGCACCAACTTTCCCAGAGCGAGCGGCTCAACGCAAGCTGCGAGGAGCTTCTGGAGCAACTAGTCCCCACCGACATCGAGCCCAGCCAGGAGACGGTGCGCGAAAGATATTCGACTCTCGACGTGAACTATCGCGTTCAGGCGCTGCAGATCATCTGCATGCTCACATCCGAGACAAGGGCCATCCGCGGTTACATGGAGGACTGCAGCGAAACAATGACGGCGTACAGGAAGGAGAAGATAGAGTGGCAACGAAAGAGGAAACAATTGTAGGCCGAGTCCCCCCTGGCACTTTGAAACCCGATACTGACCTTTTCCAGGATTGAGGATCTCAAGGGCCTCAACGACCAACGCAAGATTCTCCTGCCTGACAACCTGCCTCCGAGTCCGCCACTGGAACCGGTCAAGACCAACGGGGACGTCAAAATGTCGGATGTCGAGGATCTACCCGCCAACACCTCGGATGAGGTTCCGGACTCGGACGACGAGGGCCCGGCCAGGAAATTACGTCGCGCCAATGACCGCGCGGCGGAGCGCAAGCGCAAAGCCGAGAAGGAGCAGGAACGTAAAGAGAAGGCCGAGGCAGCCGCCAAGGTACCGAAGCAGTCGAAGCAGTTCCAACGGGTGCTTAAAGACATCCAAAAGAAGGAAGACGAGATTGCCGAGTGCGAGCGCGAGATCGCCGTTATCGACAACGACCTGCGCGAAGCCGACTGCCCGCGCACTCGTGTGCTAGGCAAGGACCGCTTCTGGAACCGGTACTACTGGTTCGAGCGCAACGGCATGCCGTACGGGGGACTTCCAGACAGCTCCACAGCGTCGGCGGGCTACGCCAACGGGTGCGTCTGGGTGCAGGGCCCGGACGAGCTGGAGCGCGAGGGCTACATCGACATGCTCCCCGAGTACCAGGACGAGTACAAGGCCAAGTTCGACATGACGGTGCCGGAGCGCAAGAAGCTCGAGGAGGGCGCTACCAGTGTGTTCAACGCCTGTCAGTGGGGGTACTACTCCAACCCAGAGGACATAGATGCGCTCCTCGGCTGGCTCGACCCGCGCGGCTTCAACGAACTGAAGCTGCGCAAGGAGCTGGTGAACTACCGCGACAAGATCGCGAAGAACATGGAGAACCGCAAGGCATATCTCGGCAAGGCAGAGGAAACGAAAGAAAAGGAAAAAGAGGACGACAAGGAAAAGACCTCTAACGAAGAAGCCGACGACGGCGAATCCACGCCCGCGCCCGCCAGTGCCACGGCCACCACTGGCAAAAACAAGCGCATGAGCACCCGCGGCCGTGGCGTCACCACCATCTCGGCACCCCGCCTACCGTCCGTAGAGCCGGAGCAGGAACCCACGCCAGCGGCCACCCCGACGACGTACCGCTGCATGGACTGGGAAAATACCATGGCGCTCGAAGAGATCGGGCATCTGCACAGCATGGAACCGCCGCCGGCCAGGTCGCGCAAGATGACGAAAAAGAAGGAGGCCGCCATCGCTGCCACGGCGAAGGGTACCGCTACGGCTTCGGCGGACGCTGAGGTTATGGTTACGAGGGGGAAGAGGAAGCGGTAGAGTGTTTTGCTTGACTGACTGACGCCCGCATTCTTGTCGCTTTGGGTGTTAGTTTGGGGCGGAGTGGAGTTGGTTGTGTGGTGGGAGGGCTATGTGGTTGTATGTTTTGAAGTTATGTTTTGGAGTGGACGGTTAAGTGCATGCCGTACCGTGCCGTTCCGGTAGAAATGCTTCTCCAGCATGTAACATACTACATACCTTCTGGTGTTGGCTGTTTTGGGTTTCTACTGGGCTGGGTTGGGTGGGCGGAGGCTGGGCTGCTTGTTGGGAGTATGGTTAGACATGGTACATTGGCATCCTGCATCGCATCGCATTGCATTGCATTCGTTGTATTTGAGGGGAGGCTTGCTTTGTTTTGTTTTGGGTTGTGTTGCGTTTGCAGCTGTGCCTCCCTTCCCTGCCTCCTACTCGCCTGGTTGTTGTTTTTATGGCGCCCAGTAGACAGGTTATGGCTCAGCTAGGTAATAAAGGAGGGTTCCGCTATACCCAGGGGGTCAAGATCAAAATTGCAGGCTATGGTGAACTTGAATAGGTGATAAGGTGAATGGTGATTATTATCTTCATGTCATGCTTGCTAAATAAACTCGCCCTGCCGTCGCAAACACACCTCCAACCCCCGACTCCGTAGCTCACGTCCTATTGCCTCGCCCATTACTTCTACCCGCTTCTTGCACCACCAATATCTGCCGTCGGGCAATAAGGCACCCGTAACACGATAGATGTGAAACAACAAAACCAGCATCCGAGAGTCCCCGCTCGATATCATGGACAGCAGCGGGCCGAAGCACATCATGGGGAAGGTGGTCACATACCGCACCAGGTCACTGCTCTTCACATCCGTCTGGCAGTGACCACCGCCGCCATACCCTCCTATTTGAGACCCCGGACCCCCACGATTCCCACCGTCCATCACAAACGCCAAAGCAATCGAAACCCTCGTCGCCAGTCTCTTGTACGCCGTCCTGACCAGGGCCTCGTCATAGGCCCCGCCGTTTTGGAGATACATCTCCCCCTCCTTTTGGCTCTGCCACAGCGTCATGATCCTATACGGCGACGCGTCCGTGGGTGTGAGGCTAGTGTTGCGCAAGCCCCCCAGGTAGCTCGTCGGGTTGCTGCTGACGCCGCCCATGCCGGCCCCGTCAAAACCGGCCTATGTTATCGCTCGCGGCCGGCGTGGATGGGAACGAAGGGAACGGGTTTATCCCGGGCGGCGTCATCCCGGGCTTCGGACTCCCAGCAGAGCAATGCGACGACGGCTCCGGCGAGGTGAACACCCCAGCAGCAGCAGCACACCCCCTCCCATTCACGCTCACACCACCATTCACACCACCACTCACACCACAGCCACTCCCACCACACCATCCCCCACCGCCATACCCACACCCACACCCACACCCCGCATTCCCACCCCCTCCCCTCCCCAAAACCCCCCTATACCTCCTATTATCATACACCTCCATAAACGCGCGCAACCACCGCCGCCAGTTCAGCCCGCGCGCGTCGACGGCGTCCTCGAGCGCCACACACGGCTGGAGCAGCCCGGCGCGGGTGAAGGCGGACTGGGCGGACTGGAAGAGCGGCCAGGCCATGAAGAAGATTTGGCGCACGCCGGTGGAGAGGAAGTAGAGCCGGTCGAGGGAGAGGTCGAGTGGTTCTTGCGGGGGCGAGATTGGGGGGGTGGGGATGGGGGGGATGGAGCGCGTTCTCGCGGCTGGGCGATCACGTGGGGCGTTGTGCGGTGGGCGGTGTGCCGCGCCCTGTGTCAATTCTTGAGCCAAGTCTCCTTTA